CCCTAAGGTTTACGAAACTATCAGATTGCATCCTTAATGTTTTTTTGTGTCACTTATGGTCCTCAAGGTTAGTATGTGTGATCACAAATGGCCCCTGCCGTTAGGTTCCGTCAAAAACTCCGTTAGTTTGCTGACGTGGCATATATACATATCACAAAACATCCCTGAGGTTAACACATCTATCACAAATGGTCCCTGCAAATTTTTTTAATTTTTTAATTTAAAATTCATAAAATTTTGTTTTTGTTTTTTATAATATTTAAAAATATATATTGTATTTTAAATACATATGATACTATATTTTTGAAGATGAGGGCTCCACATATATGCCACACCAACAAACTAATGAAGTTTTTTTAAAAAATAATCTAAAATTCATAAAATTTAAAAATGAAAAAACCATTTATATAAGGATTTTAACCTTGAGGACCATTTATAAACCCTAAACCCTTGATTTTTTTCATTTTTAAATTTTATGAATTTTAAATTAATTTTTAAAAACTCCATTAATTTGTTGATGTGGCATATATGTGGAACCCACATCTAAAATAATATAGTGTCATGTGTATTTAAAATACAATGTATATTTTAAAATAATTTAAAATTCATAAGATTTAAAAAAGAAAACCAAAATTTTATGAATTTTAAATGAAAAAAATTAAAAAAAATTGCAGGGACCATTTGTGATAGTTGAGTAAACCTTAGGGATGTTTTGTGATATATATATATATATATGCCACATCAGCAAACTAACGGAGTTTTTGACGGAACCTAACGGCAGGGACCATTTGTGATTACACATACTAACCTTGAGGACCACCAATGACACAAAAAAACATTAAGGATGCAATCTGATAGTTTCCTAAACCTTAGGGACCTTTTGTGATAATAAGCCTTTGAACTATAATTTTTCAGTCTTTGTTAGAGCATTTCCACTCATTTGCCATGATAATAGGTAAGGGGAGGTAAGGGTTGTTACCATTCACATGAATGGTATATGTCCTAACAATTTTTTTTGTTGGTTTTCCACCCATTGCCATTGCAACCACTATTCACATGAGATATGAGAAGATGAATTTGTATAGAGTTTTGGTATGGGAAGTGAAGAATATGGCTAGGTATTTATAAATTTTTGGTATTTTTTTCAAATTTTTTGTTATTTAAATTGGCTGCTAATGTCAACATTAGGTTAGCATGCCCATGCAAATCTTGCCTTTAGACTTGCCCAAGTTGGTGGAGCCCAGCTCTTGCCCCGGCAAGACTCGGGCGCTGGAAATACATTTGGGGGCCTAAAGGGCCTCTTGTTCGGGCTGGGGCCTCTCGGTGGAAATGTTCTTAGATTGTAAATATCCATGTTGGATAAACAATATTGATTTTTACATACCAAATCTTTAATTTTGACACTTGTAGTCAACATAGAAAACCAAAAAAAATTGAATTTTCACCAATTTTCTTTTGAGTAAACATCTTGACTTGGCTATGCAATTTATGTTTAATAAATTTTTAGTGGCTTATTGTATGTTATGGATTGTTTATTGGTGGCTCTTTTTATGCACATGTTGTAGTTTATAAGTTCTACTTGTGAATCAACATCTTTAATTAGAATATGAACTCACGAATACCTTGTTTCCAAGACGAGTTCTACTCGTGAGTTTTTAACAATGTATTCGTTGCTTTGAATTAAGGAGACCGCATTATTGTACGGCATGCCACTTATATTAGAAAAATGAGACATAATATGGTACAATAATGTGATCCCCTATAATTTTCCTTTCACATTTTGCCTAGCTTATGCATACTCTTGTTCTTTTCATAGTTGATCATAATAACTTAATACTCAAAAAAACTGGCCTAATTATTGATGGGGGGGCCTGTTAGAACCAAATCCAGCTGGATTTCACATTGTGCCTAGCCGATCATAATAATTCATTACCCAAATCACCACGTCTCTTTAATTAGTATATCTTTCTAAAACAATATATATTCCATCATTCTGGTTGGACCATTTCCTTTCAAACTGTCCCTTCATTTCATCATATCCTTGTTTTCTTTTTGTGACACATAATCTTTCGTTTTAGAAACCAACCCACTTCTATATAAATATTCTAGCGTGCATGCATGAGCAGCTAGCTTATTATACAAGTCAAATACCTCCAAGACCAAGAGAAAGTTTTCTTGTCTAATATAATCAGGGACGGACTCAGGATTTGAAAATAAGGTGGGTTAAATTTATCTTATATACAAACTTAGAAAACTTGACAGTACGAGTGAATTTCATTGAAGTATGAATTTTAAGGTCATTTAGTAATTACATGATAAACTTCTCCATGAAAGGAAAAAACTGAAAGCATTTATTATTCATTACAAAAGAAGAAAAAAAAAACTAAATCATTTTAATTCATCCAAGCCAACTTGGAAAATAAAAATGAGAAGAAGTAGCCAAAACTTATATATAAAAAAATGAATTGATGTTTTATGTACAGTGGAAGGTAAATGTTTTTTTTTTTGGACAGAAAAAAGTAAAGGATGTTTGCTAGGAATGTATGTTTTATGAAAAAGATTGAGTAATAAATATTAATTAACTAAAGAAAAAAAACAAGGAGATTTTTTGTGGGTGGGGATCACATCAAGTCGCCTGGACTATAGCCAAGGACGTAGGTCCGTCCTTGAATATAATTATATACATATAAACAAAGCTTTATATAAATATAATTTGCTTGATCTTGTTTTCTCTTTTAAAAAGGAATGCTGGTGGTGGATATTGTTTGGTCCCTACCTGCCAGAATGCGGTTTCGCCCTCCGTTTTCGTCTTCCTCTCTATTCATTGCTTTGAGCATGAGGAGGAGATCCCACACAGCTCATGCCCATTAACAAAGTATATCTTTCGCGTTGGAATTTTGCTGCCGCATCATTTTCCCATTGGTGTTTTTCGGGTGTGTAGGGTTCTTCATTTGTCATCGTCCCGGGCCTTGAAAAACTCAGAACCGGCTATAACACTAGATTGGAGCAAGAATTTCAAATGGCATAAATAGGAGTTCTTGATGAAAGTTAATTGTGTAGATATGCATTATTATTTGTTAGATCAAACACTACCTAAACTCGTAATTAAATTAATAGGACTAGCACTTATTTTGCAATTACATTGCCTGCATAATTAGGTGATGCTATGCTTATACTTATTTGGCATAACCCTACTGGTTCTATTTTTTTTTTAAAAAGCCCTTATTAGGTTGGGTCTCATCGCACGTGGCAATCCAAGTGGGTGATAAAAGTACCCCTAACCTAAGGCCCCTGCCCCAACCACAACTTCAAGGACCAGAGCCACTTTTTTATATATTTTATTTTATATATTTATGCTTATACTCACTCTGCTGCTGGGCCCAGTTTTTTTTCTTTTCTTTTCCACGCTCAAAAAGCCCAAAACGAATTTGGCATCTCGAGGTAAATCCACTGGACAAATTTCAGGTTTCAAATTTAAAAGCGCATACAATATTATTATTTTTGGGTAGATAAGAAGTTGACTCTATTTCTACAACTTCAATGTTTTTGGTTTTACTGCCACCTCTAACTGGTGAGCTACCTAATGTCTTAATGGTAGGATTTCAAAACCCGTTGGAAGCACTTTGTGGTTAGGGGCAAGCCGAATTCCGAGCGAGAATTAAACCCAGCCTTCAGATGTGGGGACAACTCGTAATATTTAAAATAAAAAAAACACTGATAATTTAATTTAATTACATTATTGTGAATTATATCCTTTTATTTATTTTTATTTTTTTAAAGAAACAAGTATCTTTCGAAATGAAGATGTTAAATAACACTATCAAAAGGCGACACGCATATTATCAAGAGAATTTTCTTTGTAATTAGTCTCAATCAAAATAAGAGAATTAGTCCCATATTATTTTGATTGAGCCTAAGTTTAATTGGTTAGACCAATTATTTTATTTTGCCATCAATCAAAACGCCAATTAGAATTTCTGCTTCCAAACAAAAGAAAGAACCTAAATTAGAATTAAATGACTATTGTGAAGAGATCTCAAATTAAAATAGAAAGTGCAGTCAAACCATATGAAGAATCTCTTTGAGTTGGTAACAAAAATCATTTGAGTTCAGATAGCCCATATTAGATCAGATCAAGAGCTCTGATATCAAATGACAGAACCCTAAAGCAGATAAGAAAAAAAAATTGAAATCAAAGGAAATTAACTCAATTCATTTCATCCATAATTCCTCCAATAAAGACTCATAGCTAGATGAAAACAAAAAGTAACAAGAAGCTTCTCAGAAACTCCCAACAAATAACCTACAAGCTTATCCATATGTTTCTTGTCAAGAGATATGCAGGGCCTCCATAATTACTTGTCACCACCCATATAAACGGAAACACTTCTCCTCATAAGCGTTTTTAGTAATATCATTTTCATTAAAAATGTTGAAATTTTCATACGAAATTCAAGTGCTTTTACTTCTAGTAAGTACTTCTATGACCCAAAAGCCCTTCTAAATTTTTTCATCGAGCATGATCAAGAGTGCTTTTAGTTATCAAAAATCACTTTTAACCTCTCTTAAAGCACTCTCAATCAACCCCTAAGTAGAAGTTGCTATTCTTGAAAACGTATTAAGAATCAAACGGTCATCAGCTGTTGTAATCCTACCAGCACTACCCCACCCTACATTGAAAGGAGGCCCCATTTGTGGGCAGTGGCTCATGGCTGGCAATCATGTGGCGCTTTCACAGAGAGATCTAAACGTTGTAACCATTTCTGATTTTTTATTTGTTCAAGAGAGACAAGAGTCAAAAATGAATGTGGGTGTTAGTTGGTTATGGGGTGAGAGAGCGTGAGAAGTTCAAACTGTGAACTGGCTACTGGCTGTCACTCCCTCTTTCCTCACATACTTTCTGTCTCTAAAAATGCTTACTTTTATCTCTCTTGCTCGCATGGATGATGACTGGTTACCGACAAAAGCTTAGCTTGGGATCAGACCTCAAAACCAACCAATCTTCTCTGTCTCTCTCTCTCTCTCTCTCTCTTACTCTTTTATTTTAACTAAACCCATAAACCAGCACTACCCAACACACTCACACAAGGTAAAGAAAAAAGAGCCGTTCTCTCTGTTTCTCCTCTGTCTCACACTCTCTCTCTACTCTCCACCGTTTTTCTCTCTAGAGGCTTTGCTTTGTCCTTGTTCCTGTTCCTGTTCCTTCTTTCTCTTTGTGATAATGTAAATCAAACAAAAGCTAAGGAAAAAAATATTGGCTTTTGATTTGTGAAAAAAACAGTCTAAAGTCCTGGAAATGGCTTCTTTGAGCTTCTTAGTTGTGTTTCTTGTCCACATTTGCTTATTTGCGAGCTTTTCTTCTGCTGAGGATCCAAATATTTACCACCAGTTTGAGGTCTCTTACATCACTGCTTCTCCTCTGGGTGTCCCTCAACAGGTATGTTCCTCTTAATTCTTATATCTCTCTCCTTCTACTTCTGTAGCTGCATTCTGTCTCTAGATTATGCACTTTCTCTTGCTACTTTTAGCTAATCTTTTTGTTGTGGATGTGGGTCTGCTCGTTTTTCATGAATGGCAAATGGGTTTGCTTTAGATTTCATAAAGTTGGAATCTTTATCTTCAGATCTGTTAAATCTGAGCTTAGTGTATTAGTTGTATAAACTTACAGTGATGTCAAGTGCTGAGGTTAGACTGAGTATTAAAGGTTTTAGTAATTCTTTCTAAATTTGCATTGCCTTGCAGGTTATTGCCATTAATGGAAAGTTTCCAGGTCCTACTATCAATGTAACTACTAACAACAATGTCATTGTCAATGTTCGGAACAAATTGGACGAGAATCTCCTCATTACTTGGTAGGATTTACTGTAATGTGCACATGAATTTCAAGCAGATAACTTATTATACATGGATTCCGTTATCTGAATTTGGATTTGTTCAACAGGGCTGGAATTCAGCAACGCCGTAGTTCATGGCAAGATGGGGTTCCTGGAACCAATTGTCCAATTCCGCCAAAGTGGAATTGGACTTACAATTTTCAGGTTAAGGATCAGATTGGGAGCTTCTTTTACTTTCCTTCTCTTAATCTTCAGAGAGCATCTGGAGGATTTGGTGGCTTTATTATAAATAACCGGGCTATAATTCCCATTCCTTTTGCAACCCCAGATGGGGATATAACCATTTTGATTGGTGACTGGTACACAAGAAACCATACGGTTAGTACTTAGTGAAATTTTGTACTTCCTTCCTAAGTACAGGTTTGAGATTAGTGTGTAACATGTTTAATGATGATGGTTCCTTTTCTGGAATGTAGGCTTTGAGAAAGGCCCTTGATGCCGGGAAAGACCTCGGGATACCAGATGGTGTTCTTATCAATGGGAAAGGCCCTTACCAATACAACAATACACTTGTTCCGGACGGCATCGATTATGAAACATTTGAAGTAAAACCAGGTAAACAATTTTAGCAAACTATTTATGTAAAATCATGTGCTAAAAAATGTTCAACTTTTGAATGTTGTAAGTCAGAATTTGGAATTGATCTGCGCATGTCATTTCAAATGAATATGTCGTGAGCTGCCAGACACAGATAAATATGTTAATTATACCATGCTATGCAGGCTGTTCGATTTTATTTTGGAGTAGTAATCATACTCATACTAGCATTTAAAACCGTATCTGGAAAATTAGTCAGAATAGATAATGTTCGTTCCATACACATGAAACGATTGCTTTTGCACCGCAGTTTGCTTCATTTACTCGTTGGTATGAGATCATTGCCAATTGGTGTCAGGTGTGAAAGCATAAGACTTGCTCGTCAATAATAATTAGGTTATTAGTGGGAAAGGATTCATGACTTTATATATGTTTTTTTTTGGAGTTGCATAGCATTTCACTGAATATAACATGATGGGGCTTTATAATTCACATCTAAGGATAAAGAGTTGGCAAGTCATTTCTTATGGCAATAAGTCATTTCGATAATGTTGTTTCTGTGAACTTGTGGACTTTTAGCTGAATTCCTCCATACTTCCAATGACCATGACGTAATATTGGACAGGTAAAACCTACCGTCTTCGTGTCCACAATGTTGGGGTGTCAAGTACTCTAAATTTCAGGATCCAGAACCATAATCTTCTTCTAGCAGAGTCAGAGGGATCATATACAGTGCAACAAAATTATACAAGCTTAGATATACACGTCGGGCAATCTTTTTCTTTTCTGGTAACCATGGATCAGAATGCAAGTTCTGATTATTACGTTGTAGCAAGTGCTAGATTTGTGAATGAGACACACTGGAAAAAAGTTACTGGAGTTGCAATCCTGCACTATACTAATTCTAAAGGAAAAGCAGCTGGCCCCCTTCCAGAGGCACCAAATGATGAATTTGACAAAACCTACTCAATGAACCAGGCAAGATCAATCAGGTTTGTTCTCTGTTCATCTTTTTGTATTAAAATTCAGTGCCACCTTTTTTAAGCTCATGAGATTTCCAGGGTTGGGATGTTTGTGTATCCATAAATTCTGTGTTCACTAATGGGGAAAAAACATTGGACCTATGTGTATGAGTTTTTAGCGGACACTATGATAGAAATTGAAGAATTTCCTGACTGGTTTATCCATATAAAATCTCTTTCTGAAACATTTCTGGAAATTTTTTGCAGATGGAATGTATCAGCTAGTGGTGCACGCCCTAATCCACAGGGGTCTTTTAGATACGGCTCAATCAATGTAACTGATGTTTATGTGTTGAAAAACAAGCCACCTGTAGTGATCAATGGGAGACGCCGGACAACACTCAGCGGAATCTCATTTGCAAATCCTTCTACGCCAATCAGGCTTGCTGACGAGTTCAAAGTGAAGGGTGTTTATAAGCTTGACTTCCCAACTAGGCCACTTACGGGAGCACCCAGACTGGAAACATCTGTGATTAATGGAACATATAGAGGATTTATAGAAATTATACTACAGAACAATGACACCAAGATGCAGAGCTACCATGTAAATGGATATGCATTTTTTGTTGTCGGGTAGGAATTTTTGTACTTTATTGCGTCAAGCATGTCTAAGTAAGAATTTATTTCCCCCTCAGTGGTTTTAACATGCATTGATTTAATTGCAGGATGGACTATGGTGACTGGACAGAGAATAGCAGGGGCACATATAATAAATGGGATGGGATAGCCCGGTCCACAATACAGGTATATTTCTGCTTTAATCTTACTTCGGTCCTCCTAAACTTTTCCTAGTTTGCCTGTCAACTTGTTCTTTCTGATTCGTAATAATTCCTTGCAAATATGTCAGTTGGACTTACTTACTGTCACAGAATTGGCAGGCATGTTTTTGTGTTAATAAGCATGTTCTTGTTCATGTTGCTCACTTCATCAAGGGTGCTGACTGGCTGTCAACCTTTTAAGCTGTTTTGCTTTATTTGTTCCAACGGAAATAGGCATGCTTATCTAATAAACATGCAATAGCTGCTGATGCCCAACACTTAAATAGATGTAAATATTTGTAATGTAGTAAAGTCTTGACTCTCTCTCTCTCTCTCTCTCTCTCTCTCTCTCTCTCTCTCTCGTTAGGTTTATCCTGGGGCATGGACAGCAATCTTGATATCTCTGGACAATGTTGGAGTCTGGAACATTAGAGCTGAAAACCTCGACTCATGGTATCTTGGCCAAGAAACTTATATCAAAGTTTTCAATCCAGAAGCAACTAACAAAACTGAGTTGCCTCTACCAGACAATGCCCTATTTTGTGGCGCCCTCAGCAAAATGCAGAAGTATGTTCTGTGGTCCATATGTACTAAACATCTCAACTTGTTAATGAGTAGCACAAAATATCAATTCTGATTATACATTTCACTTTTGCTTTTCAGGCCAGAAGATATCTCTTCGGCAACGTCAATCACTATCAATGAATCAAAGTTGTTCTTCACGCTGCTGATGATCATCTGCACTTTGATCCCCATTTTCTACTAGAGGTTTTGGTTTTCCAGAGCCAGTGCCCCTTCTATGTTTGTCGGAGCCTGGTTTCTTAGTGAGAGGTTTGTGGATGAGTGCTTAGGTTTGTAAGTTTAGGTTTGTTGATATAAATCTTTAGTAAGTTTGACATTCTTTTCTTCTTTTTTTCATTTCGTTTTCGAATGTTCTCAATGCTCCACGGCTTCCTCGTTTAATTTTATCGGGATTTATAATTCTTTTATTACCTATTTAACTTATGTACTATTGACAATTAATTCATCAATTCAATACAATGCAACTTCCTACTTTACATCACTGCTGCATTTCAAATTGCTGAAGAGAAGATATGATAATGTTTGTACATTTTTGGCCTCTCCTATATAAGGTATTTGAAATGTACTGGACCTTGAAGATCCCCCCCAATGTCCCTGAGTTAGGAGGAAGTGGGGTCTTTGGCTTTGGCTGGGTCACGGATCTGTTTCTGATATTTTGTTGTGGCTTGAGTTTTGTGGTCCTGGGATGTTTGAATGTCTTTTTTTGTGTACCGTTGAAGTGGATTTTTGTTGGCCAAAACAATGTGTGCTGTGATTTTTTCTTGTCTTTTAACTGTGGTAGATGGGCTAAATTATTTTCATAAACCCACTGCATTTTATAAAAAAAATTACAGAGAACCGACCACCCAAAAACATGGCATGAACAATCAGAAGCATTTGTATTTTGTTTCAGAAAAAAGAAATTTTAAAAAAAAAGGAAAAAAATTATTTGTATTTAAAGCAGCATAATTGATAACTCCAAATGGGAGGAATGAGGATAGCGTGGATTCAGAACATTCCAATGTTGTCACTGAGGGCAATTGCCTGTAAGCAAGATGGATTGTCTGGCGCATAAAAATGGAGTGCTGTGGAATTTGCTGTCACTCGTGTGACGGTCCCACCATCATGCGGTATATTTACCGCTTCACTTATTATAACACATACTTAGCAAAGGGCCTCGTAGAGGCGGTGAAGAGCATTTATCTTGTAGATGTGGTTTTATGTTCGATTCTTCCCTCCTCTAATATCGCTTGTATCTAAAAAACAAAAACAAAAACATACAACATATCGACTTTGTTGTTATTATGATAAATGAATAATAGCTAAATAGCAAGTTAGCAACCACTGTAACTAAGTTAGCAAGTTAGAAACACGGATCGATCTGCATGACTCTAGCTCAATTTACATTGGAGTGGGATGGAGATGTGGTAGATTTTAGGGTTAGGTTTGTTTTTCTGGTAAAAGAAAAAAAAAAGAGTTTTAAATTTAGCTCAAACTAATACAAGAACCAATTGTGGGCATGGCCTAGAACCCCTTTGGGAGCGCATGAAAGGCATCTAACGGGCCAACGCCTCCAAGGCTAAGCAGAATATTATATGGACTTTTGAGCCTATTTGTTGAAGTGGCCTATGGGCCAGTAGAAGCATCAACAGCTATTGGTGATAGAAATGCTCAATGAGCAGAAATATAATACAAAAATTCTCCTATGCAGAAATATAATAAAAATAAAAAATTAAAATGAGATTAGCAGTACCGTCTTCCCCACACCCCTCCACCATCGCCACTAAGAGCAGTTCCAGCTGAAGGGTTTGGGGGGGGGGAGGGGGGAGCCCAAAATGCCGTTTCTAGCAACAAAATAAAGCCCGGGCAGAAGGCGGGACCCAGGGACTTGGGCTGGCCCGAGGGCAGGTTGAACCCCAGATACAAAACGAGGGCAGGATGACGTCAGCAACAAAAAATATTTTAAAAAAATCTAAAAAAATACAAAAAATTCATATTTAAAAAAAATTAATACTTAGTTATATTTTTCACTTCCCACACCAAAAATCTTATCCGAAAATATTGTCCAAATTAATTGTTTAGGTAAACAAATTTGTGAAAAAAACAAAAAAAATGAATAGTATTTGCCCTTTGCCATGACAACTGTTGGAAACACACATTGCTTTTTGCAAGGACAGTCACTATTCATGTGAATAGTAGCTGCTCTAGCCCCCCTTGCCATGGCAAGGGTTTCACTACTGGAAGTGCTCTAACAGATCTCCTCTCTCACCCTACCCACTCACTTCGTACCTAGCCAACCTTTTCTTTTATTTATTATTTATTTATAGTTTATACTAAATCATATCTATAAAATGTGGTCTTCTTGTAAGTGGGGAAAAGGGGAGTGGGAAAATCAGCTCCCATTTTCTACTACCGTTTTCTACTTTACTTATTGTTTACAATGTTATCCACACGATGAGGATAATATAGTAAATTTATATTTTTTCATAATAAAAAAATTTTAAATAAAAAATAAATTAGAACATAAGTCCTATTTTTATAGAACACAACTATCCATTTTATCTATATGAGTGTGCGGCTACTTTATTAGTATTTTAAAGGTAATATGTGGTTTGACATGTCATACCCCGAATCCCACATCAGAAATGCCCTAGAAAGATCTTATATGTTGAATTGAAGTAAGACCTAAGAATCCAAAAGTCAACTTCAGTTAGCAGTTTTAGATGAGTCTTTGGGTCAATTACAAATGGTATCAGAGCACAACCTAATTTAATGCCTATGTGGGACCAATTGCAACGACGGCTCTCTGCGGATGAGGGAAGGGCACACCTTCTACCAAATAAATTTATTTGCAACGGGAATAACACATTTTCAGTCAATAACACAATAATATGTGGAAAAATTATCCTATGTGTTATTGCGTTATTGGTTGGAAATATTAAAAGGTGGTATCCCCATTGCATGAGAATTTCTCTCCACCTTCTACCGGGTAAAATAACAATCATGAACACAAATATATAATTAAATATGTGATCCTATTTTTCATGTAATGAGTTTAAACCAATAATATCTTGTTGGAAATAGCTAACATTTAGGGTTTACACTAGAAGAAATGCAAGCTTGATTAACATTATATTACAACAATTTTTAAGTGAGTAGTAATGACATGCTATCTCACCACGTTGTAACTTGTATTTGTGTATTAGGAGAGCAAAACCGGTTTTTCATTATTCATCTCTCGCGTTACAAAAAGTTTTCCTCTCACCGCGAATGTCAAACGTTGTTAACCCAAATTAGGGAAAGAGAGAAGTAAAGTCATTTGGTTTTTTTTACCAGTCTTTTTGGTACTCTTTGTATATATGTGCCTTGGCATATAGGAAAGAAGCAATATCTTAGTTGGATGAAATAACACCTCATCTTTTGATATGTGTACATAGAGGGAGGACAGGCTAGGGTCCAAATGGATCGATAATCAATCCAAAGCAGTGTCCTTTGTCTGTTTCCGAGTTGAATCAGAGTGCATAGTAGGGGACTGACTGATAAAAGAAGGCCAATTACCCCTGTGCTTCCTCTAAGCACCCCCAGGCCATCCCTTTTGTTTCTTTGTAGGGCATGTCCTTTGTGTGGTTCAAAAAGAACAAGAAATTGCTCATGCCCATGCAACATGGCTCTAGGAGTGCATGTGGGCTTAAGTTAGGTTGTGGTGTATCTAAAATTAAAGGCTCCATGATCAGCACTTAGCAGAGCTAAAGGCCTCACCACCGCCCTCGCTTTAAATTCGTACGTACTTGCTTGCACTGATCAGCAGCACTCACAGAGAGAGAGAGAGAGAGAGAGAATGATTTAGAGGAGGCAAAGCCAAAGCCAAAATATATCAGACACCAGAGCAACTCTGGATTTCATCTTTATCGGTTTTTACCCAACCCCACCAATCCCCCATCCCGAAAGACATAGGGAGAGATTCAAAGATCCTCATATCCCCACAAACAGCAACAAATAGCTCCTCGCAGGCTTTTTACAGTGATAGCTTTTCCTCATTCGTACATATATATGTATGCAGACATGCATGTATGTGTGCATGGATCCATGAATGCATCCAGCTGCTGCCATCATCATCAGTGAAAGTTACAACGTGAGATGGGTCATGAATGATATACCCAATTGAATGGAACTAACATCTGTGGCCCATTTCCAATGGGATTCAATAATCTAAACCTTTGTTTTTCAGATTCTCATTTTGAGGAACCTTCTTTAAAAATCATAAAAACAAGTAATTATTTTTACAGAATTAGATAATCCAAGTCAAAATCAATTGAGAATAGATTAAGAGGTCGTTCTCCTTTTTCAAAGTGGGATATGAAGGAAGCTGAGGTTCCACCCCAAAACTAATTGGTAATGAGGGGAGTAGTTCAACTCCTTGTAAACCCTTGCTAGTTTCTCAACTTTCCAATATGGGACAAATTTCATCTTCACATTCTCACACGCCCCCGTGTTACAAAAGAAACGATTATGCAGAATTTCTGTAAAGAACTAGTGTAGAGAAAGAGATAATAGAGAGAGATTGAGAATGAATATCATATTGTATTTCACTTAATGAATGTTTAGTATAATAATTCGTGTTTTATACAATTGGAGATTGCTTTCAGCTTAAGCAATCTTTCTTAACAGCCTAACTGTGTATTGAGCTAACTAACAATTTCCTAATAACTCACGTAAAACACACATGGCTAGCTAACAGTTTGCTAATAGCTCATCGTTCAATCTGTTTACACTTGTCAGCATCACCACCCTTGATACTCTTACACCCCACACGTGTGAGGAATTTTCAAGCCTTACACATGGACAACATATATTGAGTGACATGGAGCATGTGTGGTTATTGGGCTTGCACACGTGGCCAAACCCGCTCTGATACCATGAAGGATGTGGAGAGCGAAGAATATCACAATATATGTTTAAATGTTGTTATATTTAAATTTCTAGTCGACATGTGATTAGTAAACCTTGAATCGTTAATTTTTTGTTTTATAATTAAAACACCGAAAAATACGAATGTGATTTAATCGTGTTGTAATAAACACAGTTTAAGGGGTTTCATCAGACTTGAATCAATTAAACATTATCATGTCAATGTTGGAGTTTAGCTCACCTTTGGATGCAAAGGAAGAAGAACCAAGCGTACGTAGCAAGAAGAGGTTGCAGCAAAGGAAAAAGGAAGAAGGAAGAAGAAAGTGGAGTCCTGGCCGGAAACCGATCGATCGCTTTTGCACAGCAAGCTCCAGCGTGTGCAACGAAGATGAAGCGATCGCTTTTGCACAACAATTCTTAAAAAGTATCATACTTGTTTTTCTTATCCACGTGGCAGTCTCTTGACATAAAATGTTAGCAAAAAAGTGAATTCCATATATGACACGTCAACAAAATTAATGATTTTATCGACGGATTTAACGTATAAAAAGTAATGGAGCAACATGTATCATTGTGTTGTGAGTGGCCATTATCCCTGAATGCACTCCCACTTCCCGATCCGCTTGCTAGCTGATGCAGATGGTTCAATTGAGTCCTCGTGTACATATCTAACATGTTCTATAGTACTTATTTCAAGATGCGTTTGTCGTGTGATTAGTAAACCTTGAATCGTTAAGTTTTTGTTTTATAATTAAAACACCGAAAAATACGAATGTGATTTAATCGTGTTGTAATAAACACAGTTTAAGGGGTTTCATCAGACTTGAATCAATTAAACATTATCATGTCAATGTTGGAGTTTAGCTCACCTTTGGATGCAAAGGAAGAAGAACCAAGCGTACGTAGCAAGAAGAGGTTGCAGCAAAGGAAAAAGGAAGAAGGAAGAAGAAAGTGGAGTCCTGGCCGGAAACCGATCGATCGCTTTTGCACAGCAAGCTCCAGCGTGTGCAACGAAGATGAAGCGATCGCTTTTGCACAACAATTCTTAAAAAGTATCATACTTGTTTTTCTTATCCACGTGGCAGTCTCTTGACATAAAATGTTAGCAAAAAAGTGAATTCCATATATGACACGTCAACAAAATTAATGATTTTATCGACGGATTTAACGTATAAAAAGTAATGGAGCAACATGTATCATTGTGTTGTGAGTGGCCATTATCCCTGAATGCACTCCCACTTCCCGATCCGCTTGCTAGCTGATGCAGATGGTTCAATTGAGTCCTCGTGTACATATCTAACATGTTCTATAGTACTTATTTCAAGATGCGTTTGTCGTATGGGAAAAATATTTTTAAACTTGTACTTACTTCTTGCTAAATAAAAGTATCACTTATTTTAAAAAGTAACACAAATGCAATATTGGAAGGGGTTGAGCTTATGGTTAATCATATTTTAGAATTGTTTATAACAATAGGATTAAAACTTGCTTCAATCCTATCCATCCACATACATCACACTTTGTACGATCACTTTATGCTATCTGCCCAATACTAGATGTTAAGGGTGAAGAGAGTCTATGGCTGAGCTGCAGCCACATGCATCCCAAACTGATGATCTCGCAGAAGGAAAAAGAAAAGGCCAAATTTTTTTTTTTTTCTTCTTGTCATTGTGATTTGACTAATTTTGTTTACTTTGGTAACCGTTATTTTAATTTTAATCATATAGTTTTTGTTTTTGGAGATAGAATCCAAGTCCCAAAATGTCCATCTTAGGGTGTGGTTGCATATTGTCACGTCAAATTTTATCTATAAAAAAAATTCATAATTTGAACTTGATTGCAAACCAAAATTTGTGGAAAGTGAAAATGTAAGTCAGCAACAAAAAAACAAATTTGTAAAACATTGTTTTTGGTACATCTAGCCCTGCTCAGTCTCGTCCCTTTCCTACAAAACTAACCACCCACCTACCTTTTATGTTATTAAAAAGGCATATATAAAATTTAAATTGATGTTCATCTCCCCCCAAAAAAATATATATATATGATAAAGAATGAGACCTTCAAAGTAAAAAACTGTGGACTCGAAATGACTTGCATCATCCCCATACATGACATTAGATGATTGGACAGTGATTATTAAAAGAAGATATGTTCTAGAAAATACGGGCTGATGTTTTCAAAATCAAATCCGCCATCTCGTACTGTACAAACACCCATCATCATATGGAGGGGGCTTTAAATTTGTTAATGTTAAAATTTACAGAGCTAGCCAAGTACATGTCTGTCAATGATATAGGATTTATTTTTTATTTTTTTGTATTAAAATTTTTCCTTTTTGGTTAGCTTTATTTTGGCCGTCAAATAAATGGGTCATCAAGTTTATGTCTCAGATTCTCAGACTCACTTCCCTTTCAACTTGTTTTGTTAATGTGGGTAGGATTTGAAAGTTTGAATAGGCCAGGCTTGTGATGGGTCTGTAAAAGGCCAAGGACCTTTACAACTTTTCCCTCCCATCACCACTCATTTAATGTTTTGCATACGAGTTACACAGGACCCATATTTCTCATTTGTGAGTGAGTGAAGGAACGAACAATAAAATTGATCATCTCACTTTCTGGGGAAGAGGAAATCCAAAGGGTCTTTAATGAGTAAGATGGCGATGGTTCTTAAGAAATGCATCATAAGGGTCTTCTCTTCACATACTGTGATGTGCAATATAGATTCACAGTCTCGCAATTTAAGATTGTGATGTACGGTCTAAATTCATAGTCTAGTAATTTAAAATTTTGGGGGAAAGAGACCATTGTCCTATATATAATATATATAGAGGAAGGAAGGGGAAAATATGTTTTTGAACTAAACTAGGGTAGGGTAGCTTTGCAAAATTTGTAACAAAAACCCTAGAGATTGTGTGGATATGTAGAGGAAGCGTGGGAAAAGAATCTAACCAAATTAGTTAAAACAATCCTAAAAACGAAAAAGGAAATATTAGGAAAGGACAAAGGTGGTAAGGAAAGAATCGAAAGCTAGCTAGGCTAGCTGAGCTGAGGGTGGCCAATGTTTCTGACTTAAATACGTATCTGTGTTTCTTCTGTATGCGTAAGACGAGGGAGAGATTGAGTGGTCAAATCACTGGAAAAAAAAATACATAGAATTCCATTAAATTGTGCAATATCTCTATATATTTTTTGGATTTACACAAAATTGGCATTATTATGTAGGCATGATTGTGTTATGATGGTCTTGGGTTTGGGGCATCCCATTCACGGGTCACTGAAGATGGAATTGAAGATGGAGAGAGAGAGAGAGAGAGCCCTATGGAGGCGCAGAGGGAGGCGGAGGGTGAAATAAATACGAAGTTAAGAAAAGGGCAATAGGGGATAATTGTATTGTCCAGGAGGTAGAAGAGAGGGCCATGGTTTAATGGGTTCGGAAATTGAGGCAAATTAAATTAAATTACTTAATTAATTAATTAATTAATTAGCAATAACACACAAAGACAAGAGGCTCTTTAAGTTGTGAAAACAACAGGTGAGTGTGAAAGCTATATCACCCCCATGCACACGTCCCTTTCTTGCTCCTCTCCCCCACATCTGCCGCCTCTCTATCTCTCTCTCTCTCTCTGAGACATAAACACAAACACAAAGCAAGCATCGGGAATGCCAACCACATACATATATGTTTATTACTTGCATCCTATAATTAACACCATGCGCATGTTAGCCACATTCATGCTTCTACACATTGCATATATATGGTAAGTCAAAAATGCATCCATCCATCCATGCATACATGTATCCATGCATATGCATGTAACATATGTGATGACATGGTGGGTCATGAAGTGAGCTTATAAACAAGACTGGGGCAAAGGGGGCACCAATAAACAGAGGCAAGAGAATTTAAAGGGTGTTTTTCTCTGTAACCCACCAAAGCCCCTCTCTTATATCTACTAGACCAAATACAGCACCTTGCAGCCTCCCTCTTTCCCCATCTCTATCTCTGTATCTCTGTCTTTCTCTCTCTCTCTCTCTCTCTCACCTTTCTTTCACACACAACTCATATTCAACAGAAGAAAAAAAAAAAAAGCAGATCCAAGGTGGTGGTTAAGCTGTCATCCGTCAATCAATCAATCAAACCCTCAAGAGACCAATCATCAATCAAAATTCTCAAATTTTTGTTTTATAAAAGAAAAGGAAGAATCACATCTAAAAAATCATGTCATCATCCTCTTCTGCTTCAACCTTGTCCCTCGACCACCTCCCTCCTTCCGAGCAGCTTTGCTATGTCCACTGCAACATTTGCGACACTGTCCTTGCGGTATATACTCTTTATACTTCTATAATATTTTTGAGTACCCTTTTATCCCAAGTTACTAATTTTTACTTTTATTTTGTTTAATTTGGTGGAAGAACATATATTTCATGTTTTTGACACATGTTTGATAAAAAAATGGTTTAGGTGAGTGTTCCTTGCACAAGTTTGTTCAAGACTGTGACGGTGCGATGCGGGCACTGCACCAATCTGCTTCCAGTGAACATGCGTGGGCTGCTTCTCCCTTCGCCCAATCAGTTTCATCATCTTGGTCACTCTTTCTTCTCATCCCCTAATAATTCCCATAATCTTCTGGTACTACTTGTATTACGCTTAATTTCATTGCTTACCCTTTTGATTGTTTTCTTTTCTTTTGAATAAATCCATACTTGCTATATCTTCGCTACGATTAATTGGTTGTGTTTGTAGGAAGAGATACCAAATCCAGCCCCAAACTTTCTGATGAACCAAACAAGCGTGAATGACTTTGCTGTACGACCAAGAGGAGGAGCGGATGAACTTCCAAGGCCCCCGGCTATTACCAGACGTAAGTGATGAGATTCCTTACACCTTTACTTTCCTTATTATGCGTGTGTGTGTGTGTGTCCATCCATCGATATCCTAGACCTCCAGTTCAGATTCTATGAAATAAGTGCCTAGATATAGCTAGCTTTCTCAAACAGTCTTTGTCAAGCAAATTCTTCGCTCACTAGCCACGTAGCTGCCCTTAGGTTTCAGTTTTAGTCAAGGAAGAGTATTGATCACAAAGATCATTTCAAAATGCACGATCTTTTTCAGACCACATGACAAAAACCAGAAAACAAAAACTTGATCTTTTAATTGGCCTCCTTATGGAAAATACCCTCAAGAGGACCTTGGAAAAAGAGGATTGGTGGGTAAAATAAATAAATTAGCCACTTTGATCATAAACTCTAGAATCCTTGAAATTATGGTCAAGGTCCTTTATATTTCTGGTGGTGAAGGAGAGGAACAATCTTAGGTTGAGATTATGCTTCCATTTTAGGGGAAGCTTACAGTACTAGCGAGTATAATGTGGTAACTTTGCTTACCCCAACATTTCTTTGGTAAAAAAAAAAACCTAACAAAATGCAAAACTTCTTTCTTCAGTCTTTTTTAAAACCGGTAAGCTGGGATTTGTTTTAAAGCATAATTTACTTGACAAGATTGTTCTAACCCTTCTTTTGAAATCTGTATTTTGAAAGGCAAACATAACATTGTATGCCTTACAAGCTTTTCAGAGTGGTTTTCTGAACACCTATAGTAACCATGTTTTTCAAGTTCTTATGATAAGCGACATCATAAAAGGGTAGCGGCCCCCCGGAAATATAGATGGTAAAGATTGGTGGACCACCTTAGATTTAGTGGAAAACATAGATATCAGATGGATTGATAATTGACAGAGAAAGAGTTGATAATTGATGACAGTACTTGCAAGATAGGGTGTGGGCTAAAATATCAATAAGAACATCACTAATTCCCCACCGAAAAAATTTATTAAGCTAAATTAATTAAGAAGTGATGACTATTTAACTTTAATGTGTCTATCTCTGTGCCTGTCTGTTTGTCTGTGCATGCCATGTCCAGCCCCGGAGAAGAGACAGAGAGTCCCCTCTGCGTACAACCGTTTCATCAAGTGAGTAATCATGTCAACTATATCATTCATCTCTCTCTCTCTCTCTCTCTCTCTCTCTCTCTCTCTCTCTCTGAGGCACTCTCTCTCTCTCTCTCTCTCTCTCTCTCTCTCTCTCTCTCTCTCTCTCTCTCTCTCTCTCTCTCTCTCTCTCTCTCTCTCTCTCTCTCTCTCTCTCTCTCTCTCTCTCTCTCTCTCTCTCTCTCTCTCTCTCTCTCTCTCTCTCTCTCTCTCTCTCTCTCTCTCTCTCTCTCTCTCTCTCTCTCTCTCTCTCTCTCTCTCTCTCTCTCTCTCTCTCTCTCTCTCTCTCTCTCTCTCTCTCTCTCTCTCTCTCTCTCTCTCTCTCTCTCTCTCTCTCTCTCTCTCTCTCTCTCTCTCTCTCTCTCTCTCTCTCTCTCTCTCTCTCTCTCTCTCTCTCTCTCTCTCTCTCTCTCTCTCTCTCTCTCTCTCTCTCTCTCTCTCTCTCTCTCTCTCTCTCTCTCTCTCTCTCTCTCTCTCTCTCTCTCTCTCTCTCTCTCT